TGTAAAACCTAAAACTAGAAGACTTCTGGAGGAAAACAAGAGAAAATACTCGTGACCTTGGGCAAAGATTTCTTAGATCAGATACCAAATGCCTGATAAACGAAAGTACAAAGTGATAAATTAGACTTCATAAAAATTAATAACTTCTGCCCTTCTAAAGACACTGTTAAGAGAATGAGAAGAGTAACCAGAGACTAGAGGAAGTAACTGCAAAACACATAATCTGAAAAATTACTTGTGTCTAGAATACATAAAGAACTTTAATCCAATAATAAGAGACAAGAAAGGGACAAAAGGTTTCAATATATACTTCACCAAATAAGACATAAGGATGGCAAAGAAATGCAAGAAAAAGCGCTCAACACCATTAGCTATTAAGGAGATGCCAATGCAAGCCACCCTGAGATAGGGCTACATCTATCAGAATGGCTGAAACTTAAAAGGCTGACCCTAACCAGGCTTGGAGAGAATGTGGATAAACTGAAACTCTTGACATGCTGGTGGAAATCTAAAATGATACCACCACTTTGAAAAACAGTTTGATGGTTTTCAAGAAAATTAAAAGTATATCTACCATATGATTCAAGCACTTCACTCTTAGGTATTCACCCAAGAGAAAAGAAAGCATATGTCCACACAAATACTTGTATAGGAATGTTTATAGCAACTTTATTTGTAAGAGTCAAACACTGGAAATAACCTAAATGTCAGCCAACAGGTGAAGGAATAAACAAACATACATTCAATACAGTGGGATACTATTCAATAAAAATGAATTATTGATACACACTACAACATAGATGAAGTTCAAAATAGTTTGGCCAAGTGGAAGAAGCCAGTAAAGGGGGTATGTACTGTGTGCCTACACTTATGTAAAGCTCAAGGAAACATAAAATAATATACAGTGACACAAAGCAAACTAATGCTTCTTTGAGAATGGTCTATAGGCAGGTAGGGAGAAGTGGGTGAGAGAGATGAGTATGAGAAACTTCTGAGGGTGATGGATAGTTTCCTTCTCTCTCTCTCTCTTTTTTTTTCCTAAAGATTTTATTTATTTCACAGAGAGAGAGATCACAAGTAGGCAGAGAAGCAGGCAGAGAGGAGGAAGCAGGCAGACAAAGGGGGAAGCAGGCTCCCTGCTGAGCAGAGAGCCAGACGTGGGGCTCGACCCCAGGACCCTGAGATCATGACCTGAGCTGAAGGCAGAGGCTTAAACCACTGAGCCACCCAGGCGCCCCGATAGTTTCCTTCTCTTGACTGGTTTGTACATATGTCAAAAGTCAAGTTTACCTCAGTAAAAGAGAGACAGAAGGAAGGGAGGAAGGGAGGGAGGGAATGAGGGAGGGAGGAAAAGAGAAAGAGTAAGGAAGGAAGGACAGGAAGAAAGAAGGGAGGACAGGAAGCAAAGAAAGAGAGAAAAAAAGAGAAGGAGAAAGAACAGAGGAAAGAAAGAAATCCAAAACAGAAAATTCTGTGACATCATTTCTCATGAATTAAAGTGAAAAAAAATATATATATATATATATATATCTCCAATTTTCTAAAATAGACACAAATCTTTGTTTAAATATATATAGAAATAGAGTTCTATATTGATCTCATTCTAAGAATAAATAGGAATATTTCCTTTAAATCATTTGAAATGGTCCTTTAAAACACAAGTAATATATTAACAAATGATTTGAAAGTTTGGTCCTTAATGGGAAGAATTTTCTGAAAGCCATTTTAGAACATTAAAATTTAGAAATACGAGAATGCGACGAAATACCTGCTTCCTACAAACATAATGCTATATCATACCAAGTATTAAAAGAACAGATTTTATACAATTTGACACAATTTAAGGTATTGCTTGCCTTGCCCAGTTTATCAAATGCAAAAACCTTTCAGCTACTCCAAAAGGTCATTTTGGAGAGCTGTCTTTCTATGTTGTGTGCTATGAATTTGACCTCACAAAAATTTTTTAAAAGGTGCTTTCATTTTTTTGGCACCCAAGATGATTCTTTAATGAAGTCATCACTAAATTGCAACTTGGAAGCTAAAGGGTTTGTGAGGTTTTATAATAAGCTTAGTTTTGCACAATGGGCGAACTACTTCATACATATTCTAGCATTGATGAATTCAGGCCCACATCCTCACTTTTGGAGGATGTCACATAACCAGTGACATCATGTGTTTTACATAATTCATCTCCGTGTGTCACAGTTGGCAGGAATAGTTCAGAGGGAGAAATCCTGAGCCAGGTATCCGGTTCAGGTCAAGCCTCCTTGCAATAGAATTTTTATTTCCTAAACAGCTTTGAATGAGATGATTTATATGCACTAGCTGTTCTCTGTCAGAAGATATTAAAATGCAGCAAAGGCAACAGTTTAAATAACATTCGCATCCTCCAACAGGCCCAGAAGAATAGGGTGCAGATAAACAGGGACAACCTGGCCCCTGAGTTGTGGATCTAAAAAAAAAACTAACACCTCCTTATGCTGGGATGTTCCTCCTATCGGGTACACACATATTCCTTGGTCACTCAACAGCTGAAATCATTCGCCTCCTCCCCGAAATCTCAATTTCTTAATGTCTAATGTGGTAATAATGAGAAGGAAAGTGTCAGTAAGAGAGTGATGATTCTGAAACCCACCGCCCTCTGCTGCTGTAGGGAATCAGCGGGACGGCCTTTGTTGATCACCTAGGACTATACCTAGTGCTTGGTCCATTTGTTCTGTTTTCAGACAATGATGACTGAGTGCTGTTTTGCTCTCACAGACTCTGTCCCGTGGACATAGAGATGAACAAAGAAAGGCCAGTTCTCCCTCTAAGAATGTAGTTTACCAGGAGAGTCCAAAAATTAAAGTAGTATTCAAAGAAGAGTATAGTAAAGACAAAATAGGGAACCACCACGTCCAGATATCCAGATGGGAGGAGCTTGTTTCTATATGTGGGCAGCGGAGACGTCCTCACAGAATTCAACAGATTTCATCCTTCAGTGTCAGTGTCTTGGGCGCAAGCAAACTGCCACTGTTTAAAAGAGGCATTTGGGATCCACCTGCAAGCTAGTGTGTACTGCCTGGTACACAGCAGAATGGGGCTCTGCTGAGTGACCATTCTAAGAGTTGCAAGACCTGAAAGGCATTGTGTGATGAGCAGACAGCACTAACTGTGGATGTCTTATGGCCTTGAGATCTCTAATTCTAACCTCCTCCAGCTAAATGTATGCTTTTGGAAATGTAAAAACACTGTAGAACCAGCTACGTGCAGCCCCAGGGCTCCCAACTGTATTAAATGTAAATTGAAAGCATTAGATTCTGAACTCCAGGAAGCTAATTGGGAGCCCTGGGCAGAAATCTTACATGTGGTAATTGGCACCTTGTCCTTTGCATATACGCAGCCAACCAGAGGGTTATCTCTAGGGTGCTAATTGATTAGCATTGTTAGAGGGAAAGGCAGTAAATGGAATTGGTGAGCTGAAGTCTCTCATTTCCAAAACTGCAATTTAACTGCTAATCCAAGGGTTCCGAGAGGAGAAACAAAATGTTTTCATATGGTACTGGTGAGTAATACTTTCTCTGTGAACAACAGAATTATAAACAGCTCCAACATATGTATTAAAAATCTTCATTATTGGGCTTTTCTTTTTTTGCCAGCTGAAAAAAAAAGGCAATGTAGGATTAAAGGATCACTACAGTTAGCAAGTAGATTTTTAATATAATTCATGTTCTACTAGTCTAAGCTGGCTTCCCTTGACATCCATTTCTTTAACAAAACCCTCCTCCTGAAGATAATTATGGATTTCAGAGATACAACCGGTCTGTCTGGGGTCAGGTTAAGTGAACATAACTCAGAAAAGAGATGTTAATGTTTTTGAAAAAATAAGGACAGGAATGGGCTTCTGGAGATGCACTTCACTAGATCAATGGTTCTTAGCTGGTGATGCTGAGATGGGATGGGAGTGGTAGAGCAGAGCTGCTGAATCCAGAAAGAAATCAAGAAATCCAAGAGCAAAGTCTCCTGGCCCACAGGGGAGCCCATTGGAATGCTATTGATTCTAAATAACTATACTTCAGTGCACCAGTAGGGACACCAACCATTTCCACAATCCAAACATCATATTCAAAGTAGAAGTTCATCATCCTGATATTATGGATGACATACAAGACCCTGATAGCTTAAATGACTCGGTTATGGTCACATAGATTGGAGGTGAGACACTTGGGCCTGATTCCTAGTCCTGTGATCTTTGTTCCATACCACACTGCTACAGGGTACATTAGAGTTAAAAGGGTTGTTCCAGAAATGTCTATAGTGGAGTCTAGGGGATCCTTACTAAAACTGAATCAGGGGTGTAAAGATAGCTTATTTTTTCTTTAAGAGAAATTCTCAAATTCTCTCATAAAAGTGGAGGACTAGTGTAATGAGCTCCCATGTCCCCATCACCCAGCCGCAACATTTCTCAACAGCCTTCACACTTGCTATCTGAGGCCGAGATAGGTACAAGATGAGGCTCAGGTAAAAAGAACCTTGCTGTCTGAGGGCATAAGAGAGCTCACAGAAGAGACAAGATCTCAAGGGTCAGAACTAAGTATGCCATCATCCCACTTGAAAGAGCATGAACTAGAAATATCTAGAATAGACTGTGATTTCACCCTTAGCCTAAATAAACCACATAATGTGATTTACCCAGTCTGTACCTTGTTTGAATTCCAGAATTTCCTCACATACAAGCAAAGACTCTGGAGTAACCAGAATGTCTGTGATACTGTAGGGCCACACCACACCACCCCTAACTTCCCTACTGCCCAGTAATATTGCTTAGTTGGCAATCTACCCACTTGGCCGCATTCTACTAGACAAAAAGATATTCCATGCTTTATTTTTACAATCCTTACTAATAAAATGAGAAAGCAAACTATATCAGGAAAGTCTCAGCATTAATTAAAGAAGTTTCAGTTTTATTGAATGTAATGCTTTAAAAAAAAAAAAGAATTCAGGCAAACTTCATCTCTTACCGGTTTTTTGTTCCTTTGTTGTATATTTGACTCTGAACTTGTAGACGTGGTGCTGAAATAAAGTAAGAGTTTAGAATTCCAAAATTTTATTTCAGGTGTGCACATACTTGTATACACACACACACACCCCACATCAAATAGATCTTTACACTGTGTCATTGAAGGTAATTGTTGTAAAGTTATTTCCTCCAAATGTCGATTTCTGAACTTTTCTAAAGGAAATCAAAACTATGGAATGTAAACTTCACTCAAAGAAGATAAAATAGCCTTTAAAGGTTCTCTTGAGAATAAGCAGTCTGAACAGTACAGTCTGTTCTGAAAACCTGCAAAATCTCTTATTTCAACTAAAAAAAGAAAAAGGAAAATGTGGAAGAAAGCCTATCATCCTGCAAAACAGCAGACTTGGGGAATTCTTTGTCTCCTACACTGTTGGTCACTCAATCTCTCTTTCTAGGATCATTTCCAGTAGTTTACAAACATGCTGTTATTTATTGCATCTTGAGCCCTCTTAACCCTTTACTTTCTGCTTGATTACCCTGAGCCCCTTTATAACGAGGATATATTCTCACTGTCTCTCCTGTTTTTTGTTAAGGCAGCTCTCCGTCCAGACTCTCACAAGCACTATTCCACAGAAACTGCATTTAATTCATCAGCGATCTCCACATCACTGTTGTAGTGATCATTTGTCACATCTCACTTTACTTGACAGCTTTTGACATGATTCATTGCTTCCTCCTTGACAGGCTCTCTGAACTTGGCTTCCAGGATGTCCTAAGGTCCCAGGTTTTCTTTCTGCCCTCCCCCTGCTGCTCCCTCTCAGTGTCCTTTGATGGTTCTTTCTCTCTCCCTGCACTCTCAGCTTTGACATGCTCCAAGGCCTCCTCTCTCCTCTAGTCACATCCTCTCCACTGGTGATGTCATCCAACCTCATGGCTTTAAATTCATCAAGATGGGAGCGCCTGAGTGGCTCAGATGGGTAAGCATCTGCCTTTGGCTCAGGTCATGATCTTGGAGTCCTGGGATCAAGCCCTGCACCAGGTTCCCTGCTTAGCAGGGAGCCTCCTTCTCCCTTTCCCTCTACTATTCCCACTGCTTGTGCCCTCTCGCTCTTTCTGGCAAATAAATAAATAAAATCTTTTTTAAAAATTAAAAAAAATAAATAAATTCATCTGTATGCTGATCACTGCCAAATATGCATTTCTAGACTTCTCCCTTGAATTCCAGATTCATTCATGCAATTGTCTTCTTGACATCTCCACTGGGATGTCTAATCGAGATCTCAGTTTCATCATTCCCAAACCTAACTCCTAATTTCTACCTCCAGTCTTCTGCTTGCAGTCTTCCCCATCTCAGCTGATGATGATGGAGTCCTTCCACTCACTCAGGCTGACACCTTGACTCCTCTTTTTGTCTCAGAATCCATATCCAATCCAACAGGAAACTCTTGGCTCTATAGTCACAATATATCCAGTATCTGGCCAACTCACCATCTTCACTGCTAACTCCCTGGTCCAACCCTCACACTACCATCAGCTCTTGCCTGGGTTATTGCATTAATCTCCTAAATGGTGCTCTCTGCTTCCAACTTCACCTACTACATTCTATTTTAAGTACATTGACTATAATAAAAATTATTTCACTCCTCTGCTCAAAACCCTCCAGTTAGAGATCTCATTTCACTCAGAATAAAAGCTCAAACCCTTATAATGGCATATGAGGTCCTAAAGATGTCTCACCCATTTACCCTTTGATCCATTGTAAGGCTCCATCCCACTCCTTCCTTCCCCCTCCCATACAACTCCACCTTTGCCTCTCTGAATTCATCTGATATTCTCCTCAATAAGTCCTGCTGGTTTCCTCACTCTTCTTCAACCTCCTCATATAGACTCTCATTGCAAGTCCTAATGCCAGGAGCATGTACTCCATAGCTGTCTGCTTGACTCTATTCCACTCCCTTTTTGTCTTTGTTCAAATATCTTTTCTCAGTGAGGCCTACCATATGCACCCTTCTTAAAAATCGATCTTTCAGGGCACCTGGGTGGCTCAGTGGGTTAATCATCCAACTCTTGATTTCAACTCAGGACATGATCTCAAGGTCATGAGATTGAGCCCCAAGTCCAGCTCCATGCTCAGTGAGGGAGTCTGCTTGAGATTCTCCCTCTCCCCTTCCCTCAGCCCTACCCCTGACTTGAGCGCTCTCTCTCTTTCAAATAAATAAATCTTTAAAAAAAATAAAATAAAATTGACCTCTCCACCATCTATCCATCCTCATGACCTTGCTTAATTTTTCTTTGCTGTACTTACCACCTTCTAGCATACTGTAGAATTTGCTTATTAATTATATGTATTATGTCTCCTTCCAACTGAAAATGCAAACTCCTTGAAGATAGGGAATTTTTTCTATTGTTATTTTGTTACTCTTTCCTTCACATCTTGAACAGGGCTAGGATGGTCAATAAATATTTTTTAACGAATGAATTAATAGATGGGTGATTTAGTAAACCCCCAATCTCAAAGTCTTGTTCTTCTGCTGCCAACCAATAAGCCTAACTTTAAAATCCCAGAGTACTTTTATCATTTTCCATCCTACTCTCTCCATAACAAACATATTATTTTATTTCCATGTTACTGTGCAAGTCTTTCACTCTTCAAAAACCTTAAAACCTTTTAAAATGTTCACAAAGTAATCAGTGACTATTGAACAAAATTAATTAGATTCCCACTCAGTGGAAGGACATGCTGGGGTTCTAATGTAATTGCTCTTGTCTCATCCTACCAAATCAGTAAAAACCAGTATTTTGGTGTTTCTACTTGACAGTACCTCTTTATCACAAAATGGAAAACAAATTTTGCCATCACGTTGCTGGACAAAACAACAAATCGTTTTGAAGGACCTTAATAAGGGGCCCCCTCTTCCCATCTAACTCATTTTATCTTCTATCAGTGCCTCTCACAAACATGATATTCTCACGAAACTGTACTACTCAGTGGCCCCAGGCTATGTGTTTGTCCTTTTCTTTGGTTGTTTCCTCTGACAAGACTGCTCTTGCTCTCTTCTCTGTTTGTAAAACTCCTAACTATTCTTCACACCATGACTCAAATTCTACCTCTTCCTGAAGCTTCTTTGATCCTACAAATCGTTTCTTGCCTCTGTGTCCACAAGTAGTGTGTGGATATCTGTCTCTTATTATAGCCCTGATCACATTTCATCATATAAATAATTGTCAACCTATGTTTTTGCAACTCTTCAGTGATACTTCCTAGCAGACAAGGAATATCTTCGTTTGTTTTTTATTCATCCAATGGCATACCATCCAAGAAATTAATATATAGTTACTGAATGAAGCAAAAAAAAAAAATACAAAATGTTGTGGGTACAAGTACCCTTATGTACATATTCAGATGTGCCACAAGTGTACAAGAGAAAGAACTATTCGAAACCACCTTCTTTTAATAATGCCTGAAACAAAACTACTGGTTTAAAAGTGAGGGAGCTTTGGCTGCCTGACAATAATATTTAAAGGTCATGAGTCATGGCCTCAGAGTAACCAAGGCTACTCAGCATACACACAGTACGAGTCGTGTTTGTAGCATAATTCAGGAGAAAAAAGCTTCAGAAAGCCTATTAACCTTGAGAGAAAACAAATGAGAATTAACAAACATATTTGTGAAGCTTGTTTTTATAGCAATGGTTTTGTTTTACTTCAGGGTTCATGGAAAAACTGAGAAAATCCTTTAAATTTCTATCGGCAGGGAGTATTAATAGGACATTTCAGCTTTACAGTCATTTTTTCTCTGTAAGTGACAAGAACATAAATATTTCCTTCCTCTCAGTGAAATATCTGTTTTCCAGACTTTTTACCCTTTTTTTTTTTTTTTTTTTACAGGAGTAGTAATCAGTTACCACTTAGTCCATGTGAATAAAAGATTTTAATAAAACTGGTTTGGAAATATAGCTAGTGAGCAGTGAGCACCCAATTCTTATGGGAAAGAATTTCCTGGGAAAATGCCTTCTTTATTCCCTAGGTTAATTGCATCCAAGGCCTAACCCTCTTTTCTTGGACTAACATAGGAGCAAATTCCCAATTGGTTTCTATAAACTGTAGAGAAGTTCTGTCTCAAGGGCCTGAGAAGAGAAGAAGGACGGAAAGAAAAGTAGGACAGACCACCGGGCACATGGGACCAGTTTGCTCCTGCTTAGAACTGAAGGAGCTGACCTGAACCCATCTAAGGGTTAGCCAAGGTAGTACTCAGCTGTGTCCAAGCTCAAAACCCGGCTCTCCACTTGCATAAATGCTCAGTTCCATATGATTCCATATGGAGACCAAAACACCAGTGATAATTTGCAGTGAGAGCACAGTCCTGCTCCTCACTTGGCTTCCCCGCTGGCTGTACACGGGGCTATTTATTTCAAAGTTGTTAATCGCAGGGCATTTTCTCTTCATTCGGTAACATTATGTTCACCTCTGGGATTGTCAGCACATTGACATATTATCTCTTTAGGTGCTGTGTTCAGGGAAATTAAAAGAAAATGAGCATTTGCTAAATTTCATTTTCTTTAACAGACAAAAGACTCCCTCCTTCCCAAAGACTATTAATCTTTTGAAGGTCACAGACCTTTTGCACATAGAAACAACATCTCACACAAAGTTTTGGGGGATTTGTGAATTTCCCACAGCATCTATGGACCATAGACCCCAGGTGAAAAGCCAATAAAAACAAGGCCCACACATTTCATGTAATGAAAATAACTTTTAAAGCCTAACTAAGCAGAGCTGTAGTGTACATATCACAGGATACCACCTGTCACAATCTAGCTCTTTCAACGAAGGAGATATGGCTGTCTCCTATTCCAGGCTTAAAAGAAAATGCTAAGTCGCAGGTATTTCTACATTTGAAGGGGAAATGTGTATTGTGCCTACTTGTGAATTTCCCCATGATTAACTGTAGATCAGTTAATTACAGGGGTGAGTTTTATGTCCATGTCTGTAGCCAGAGATGATCTGGGATTTTATTTGAGGAGAGTTGCAATGACCTAGCTTCTGTTGTGGATATCTCCTGGCAAGGGAGTGGTGAAGGTGGCATTTCATTACAGTGGTTCCAGTAAACGGCTGGCTCGGCCTTCCCTCCCCATGCCAATAAAAATGGTTGGGGTAAGTGTGTGATTTTGAGAAGAGCAAGTAAGGGACATTTTATTCATTCAACAAATATTTATTGAATACTTGTTGTGTATCAGACCCTGCCCTATGAAAGCATCATTCAAAGAAAGGGGTCATTTTCCAGGATCAGGTGAAAAGTCTGTCTGATGTTTTCCCCCAGACTTTAAAGAAAGGTTTTCTTTGAAGCACTGAGTAAGATCTCCTTTATCTAGAAATTCCCATGAGTTCTTTTGCGACAGAAGGAACTGGGAACTCACCTGATTCTCTCCAGGGTTTCAGACCCTGGGGCCACAGATTTCTTGCTATAACATTCTCCCATCTCAAGTCAGGCCCACTGATGTACCCCGTCCATGGGACAGACATCAACTATCCCCATTCCTTAGCTTCAGAATCCCTGTGACTGGTCTGCTGTTCCCTGTTGCTAGGTAACAACAATGGTTGTGGGAAGAACAGTTACTTCCCAAGGGGAAGAAAAAAAAATCTCAATTACAAAGCCACAGTAACCCTTCAAAACATCTCACAAATCAGATCCAATCATGAGTATTCATGTAGAACCACCACAGATTCATCATTTCTAGAAAACACATTCAAAGCAGGCCAGAAGCAGTGGTTTTATGCTCAAGCCATGGCCTGCTTGCTTCTGGAACCAGTGCTGACAGTCATGCTGCTGGTCGAAGAGGGTTGCATCCACAGAAATGGGTCGGTTTGCAGGCTGGCAGTAGTTTCTGCCCCAGGCTCCACCACTCCACCACCCCCACCCCCCCGCCCGATGATCTTCTTTCCCTGGGATCCAGAGACTGCAAGGTTCCACCTGGCCACATCCTGATGAAGGCTTCTTTCCTGATGCAGGATTGCAGGGGTGGTAAATCGTGGCTGATGAGCTGGCATTCTTTTCACTGTCAAAAATTACCTGCACTGCTGCTTCTTCTTCCCTTCGCTTGTCCAGAGACACTAGCCACTTTCTTCCAACAGGTTGCTGTATCTCTCCCTGGATGTGTTCATGGTCCAAGGTCAGCCTGTCTGCACCACACTTCCTGCCCCAGCAGGAAGTGAATGTAGGACTTCTACAGTCTACAGTTGGGAATCACTTCTGGGTTTGGATTCTTTCTATCCTAGACTCACCCAAACCAGATCACATAGCCCATCCCAAAATAACTTAGGTTGAAATGACAGCAATTTTTCTTATCACAGAATTGGTTTCTAGGGATACAGCATATTAGATCAAATGAGTGTAAAAGTAGTGGGCATAGTTGGAACTTATCAGTTAAAGGGTGTAATTAACACTTACTTCTAAGATAGGATTTTAAGTCACCCCGATCCTTGGTTTAAACAAAACAAAACCTATGAATAAGTTATGAACTGTGGGGGCACCTGGGTGGCTCAGTGGGTTAAGCCTCTGCCTTCGGCTCAGGTCATGATCCCAGGGTCCTGGGATCAAGCCCCATATCAGGCTCTCTGCTCGGCAGGGAGCCTGCTTCTCCCTCTCTCTCTGCCTGCCTCTCTGCCTACTTGTGATCTCTGTCTGTCAAATAAATAAATAAAATCTTTAAAAAAAAAAAAAGTTATGAACTGTGGAGCGGTTGGTATTCTGAGTGAAAAAGTCCTCACTAACTAGGTAGGTTGGAAATACAAAGACTGGGTATTGGCTTCTATCTAGAAGCCAATCTGGAATTCAGAAAATCATCTCACCTCTCTATGCCTTAGCTCTTTTATTTATAAAAGACTTACTTGAGTTGTTTCTGTCCACCCTTCCAACTCTTAACATTCTGTTCTGTTTCCTTACCCCTTCTTGTTAAAAAAAAAAAAAAAACCACACACACACACACACAAAAAAAACAAGGAAAAAAAAAACACAGGGTAGATTATGCTTTAGTGGATTTTAGAGGAATGTGCAGATGTTTGACGTGTAGCTGGTTCATAACAACTTATGAAAAAAAGGTCATCCCAATAATGGCTGGTGAAAGGCAGTGTAAGCACTAATTATTTATAATGGTTATTAATCTTATCTTACATCTCACTGATCAAAAAGAGAGGTGGGGAGATACGGCTGGTCTAAAAACAGACTTTCAAAAAGTCCTTGAAAAACAAAGTGACTTTTCCACTGCTAAACCTCCTTAAATGAGTATTACTGAAGGATTTCAGAAGGAGGTGGTGAAGAAATTAGCAGGTTTATTGAAGATATGTTGGTCTGCAGAACTCTTGGCTGACCAGGCTAAATAATGAAATAAATGATACTTAAGGAAAAGTCCTTCTGTACAAATATTGAAATTGTCTTGTTTTTTAAAGCTGGACTGAATTAAAAAAAAAAAAAAACTACAATTTTTTCCTCTAGTTTAAAGGACGAAGGGGTTGTTTCAACAAAACTTCTAGAAATATATATAAATCATTGGTACCTCCACCATTAACAATATTTTAAACTAAAAAAACTGTAAGCTTATCAGGGCTCTTGTATACTACATACAATTTGCAAAGTCACCTTGTGATCTGTCAAAAATGCATCTTTCCTGAGAATCACAAATCGCATATATGCATACAACAAGGAGGAATCTTAATGAGTATACATACTTGATGTGCTCTTGTGCTAATGCTTATCAGGAAGGCTTATCAAACTTTGATGAGTAAGTATCAGTAAGACCAGAAAGGAGGGGAGAAGAGGAAGCAAAGCAATGAGGAAAGAGTAAGAACAGACAGTAGATTTACAATGAGGTAGTGCAGCTGAAGAGAGCAGAGGAAGCCATAGTGGAGGTCTTTACAAGCCCTTTCACCTTCATCTATTCACTCACTTTTAATCATTTATTTAATTATTCACCAAATATGTTTTTGAAAACCCACTGTGAACGAGGCATAGCACTAGGCATGAATGAAATTGATACTGTCCTTCTCATGGAGCTGATCATTCTCTCAGGGTTATCATTCTAGCAAGCATGAATATTCTATTGGGAAAAGAGTCAATGAAGCAGATCTTGTATTTCCAAAGGGCTCTTCTAACTTAACAGATCCCAAGCATCAAAAATAATAAATAAATAAAAGCAAACAGAAATACCTCGTAGGTATTCCTTCTGCAGTGATACAATCCTGTGGAGATAAATGGCTGCTTTCACAGAGCTGACCTAGGGAAGTTCACTAAGCTTTCACTGGGATGGACCCAAGGTGACTGTGCCCATGTCTCAGAGTCTGGGTATGTCTATGCTAGGGGAAGAGAAGAGGGGAAGAAGGTGAGATAGACACCAAAGGAACATGGCACAAACAAGTACACATCAGCCCATGAACCACAATAACCAAAACATCTTTCTACTGATTGCAAAGGCTTTCCTTCTGTTTCTCTCAAGAGTTAGCCAGCTCTCTTGTCATTGTTTTTTTGTGAGTTCTCCACTGTCTGCTGATTGCTTGACACAGTGGGTCTAATTATCTCTAGGCTTCCAACCTATTTTAACGGAGGGGGATGTTTATTTGTGTGAGCAGAAAGACTTGCCCACCACTTGATCCGAAAGTTTTTCCTCAGGAAACGTAGGAATAAAATTGAAGTCTGTTAACTGATAAGTAGGAATGTTAACTTTTCATTTATGGATATTTTTATGGCAGGAAGTAAACATTCCTTTTTCCTCCTTACAGTTCTGTACTGCAGTAAGCATTTGCTATTTGGGGACACCAAATAGCCCCAGATTTCCCTGTGAGAATTGCCTTTCTCCTCTCATATTCTCTTCTGAAAGGACAATAAATTCAGGTACTCACTCCCCAGCATATAACCCTAGATGGGGCAGACACTGTCTAGACAAAGGGTTTGAACTTGGCTATTCAGCAACTAGATCCTGGGTTTAAGAATGAAAGAGGGGTGCCTGGGTGACTCAGTGGGTTAAAGCCTCTGCCTTTGGCTTGGGTCATGATCTCAGGGTCCTGGGATCGAACCCCACATCAAGCTCTCTGCTCAGTGGGGAGCCTGCTTCCTCCTCTCTCTCTGCCTGCCTCTCTGCCTACTTGTGATCTCTCTCTGTCAAATAAATAAGTAAAATTAAAAAAAAAAAAAAAAAGAATGAAAGAAACCAAGGGTACCTGGCTTGTTCAGTTGGTGGAGCATTTGACTCTTGAGCCCCAGACTGGGTGTAGAGATTACATAAAAAGCAAAATCTTTAAAAAAAAAAAAAAAAAAAAAAAAGGAAGAAAGGAAGAAAGAAAGAAAGAAAGAAAGAAAGAAAGAAAGAAAGAAAGAAAGAAAGAAAGAAACAATTGAAGGTCTAGTTATCCATTGGCTTATTTACCCCACAAATATTTACTGAGACTCTGCTATGTGACAGATATTTTTCTAGATGTGGGTGTTACAGTGACAAGCCCGAGAGATTTGCTGCTCTTACCCATTTCGTATGTTAGCAGGCGAAGGTAACCAAACACATACAGAAGATATTTCAGACAGGGACAAATGGTGTAGAGAAAATAAAACAAGAATATATGACCAGGAGTAGGAGGTAATGTAGGATTGAGGAGGTAACGAAGGAGAAGGAACCAGCCTGGGGACACTTCCAGTCAATGATTAGTACCATCATCATAGAAATAGACTAAGTAGTAATATTAAGAGACAAGCAAACTTCTCTTGATCTCATGTCCTTCTATGTTCCCTTTTAAGGAAAAATTCATCAAGACAGTTGCTTATTTTTCCATCTCTCTTCAACTTCCTCCAACCACACATTCATAGTCTCCAGTGAAATGACTTTCCCTCAGGTTACCACCAACATTGTCACCTCTCTCTTAAAGAGCTGCACCAACCTTTTCCCTGTTATGAGGCCTTCTTCTTAGTCTCTAGAATGGCCTCTTTTTTCTGTCTATTCCTCACCCTAACTGTAGCCTCTGTTGATTTCCTGAGCCCCAGTAATACCACCAGTTAATTCTCTTTCTTTTTCACAGCCGGAATTGGCTTCTGTTTCCAACCAATAAAAACCTAATGTTTGCACTTCCATTTTTCATATGTTTTTGGAGTTTTATGCAGGAAACCCAAAATTGTTTCATTTGCAGCTCAATCTTCAATTATTTTTTTGCTTACCTTCATTGCTTTCCTTAAACTTCTCCCTGTTTTTTCTACTGCTTTGCTACTCTAGGCTCTATAGAATCTATGCCCTTTGTGTCACTATTAAATTTCTTAGAGATTTATTAGCTATAAAATTAAATATAATTTTTCCAAATATTATATTTTCATTTCCTTAGTAATTTTCTTATCCTTCCAATTAAAAAAAAAAATCTCATTGCAAGTCAGTAAAACTGAGGTGACAGTAGGGAATCATAAGAAGCCATGTCTCAGAAAAGCCATCTTTGCCCAGATTTTCTCACATCTCACAGCCAATGGATGACCATGTTTTGATGGATGTTGTACAGTGAAAGATACTTTCAGTTACAAGTAACAGGAAAGGCAATTCATAGCAGTTAACTCATAAGGGAATTCGCTGGCTCATGTGTCTAGAAAGTGCAGAGGTTAAAAGTTCTTCAAGGTTAATCAGTGATATTATCACCATGTAATAATCTCACCAGTCTTTCCATCTCACCAGTCTTCTGTCAACAGGGTTGGCCTCTTCTGAAGGCTTGTTTTCTCCATGGGTAGAGGATGGTTGCCAATAATAACTGGGACTACAGGTGACTTTGTTTATGACAGAAGATAGAGAATGATACTTGATTTCCATAACCTTAGAATAGAAGTCCTATGTTTTGTTTTAATTGGGAAATCCTAAATATCTGATCACTATGGTTGGGGACAT